CTGTTATTGAAAATAAACTCAAATTCCAAGTTAAAAAATGAAAAACTTTAACACCATACCAACATCAATAAATAGATCTTCCAGACAGACTACCAACAAGCTGCCTTAAATGACACGTTAGACCAGGTAGATTTAATTGATATTTAAATATTTCACCCCAAAGCAGCAGAATATACATTCTTTTTAAGTGCACTTGGAACATACTATGCCACAAAACAAGATTCAACAAATTTAAGAAGACTGAAATCATATAAAGCATCTTAAAAAAACAATATATATATATATATATATATATATATATATATATATATATATATATATATATATCTTATTGATTCTTTACAGAGAGAGGGATAAAGAGTTAGAAACATCTGTCAGCTGCCTCTTACACACCCCCTATTGGGGATATGCCCACAACCAAGGTACATGTCCCTGACTGGAATCAAACCTTCAGTCTGCAGGCTGATGCTCTATCCACTGAGCCAAACCAGTCAAGGCTAAAGCATCTTTTATGATGACAATGTTTTGAGACTAGAAATCAATTTCAGGAAAAAAACAACACACACATAAACACGTGATGGTTAAATAACATGCTACTAAGCAACAAATAACAATGAGATCCTGGAAGAAATTAAAAGATACCTTTAGACAAGTGAAAATGAAAACACAAAAACCCCAAATCTATGGGAGACAGCAAAAGCAGTCCTAAGAGGGAATTTCCTAGCAAGTCAGGCCTACCTCAAGAAACAAGAAACATCTCAAGTAAATAATCTAACCTTACACCTAAAAGAACTAGGAAAAAACAGTAACAAATAAGGCTCAAAGTGAGTAGAAAGAAGGAAATAATAAAGATCAGAATGGAAATAAAATGAAATATGTAGTTTAAAAAACAAACAATACAAAGATCAAAGAAACCAAGAGCTGGTTCTTTGAAAACATATTTCAAGAGTTAACAATTCCAGTTTGAAAAGATCCACAAGACTAATAAACCTTTAACTAGACTCATCAAAACAAAAAGAGGATCCCAATACATATAATCAGAAATGAAAGAGAAGTGACAGCTTAAAACACAGGAATACAAAGGATTATAAGAAAATTCTAGGCAACATAATTATATGCCAACAAACTGGACAATCTGGAAGCTATGAATAAGTTCCTAGAAACATAGAATCTTTTAAGACTGAAGAAACAGAAAATCTGAACAGATTGATTATGACCAACAAAATCAAATTAGCAATAAAAAAAAGTCTCAACAAACAAAGCCCTGGATTGGCTTTTACCAAACATTCAAAGAATAATTAATACCTATTGTTCCCAAGGTAATCAAAAAAATTCAAGAGGAGAAAAGGCACCTAAACTCATTGGAATTACCCTGATTCCAAAACCAGATGAAGACATTACAAAAAACAAAAAACAAAACAAAACAAAAAGTTATAGGCCAATATACTGATGAACATAGATGCAAAAATCTCCAACAAAATATTAACAATACATTAAGAAGATAATACAGCATGATTAAGTGGGGTATATTCTGGGGATGCAGGGATGGTTCAAAATCTGCAAATCAGTTAACGTGATTAACCACATAAACAAACTCAGTTAACATAATAAAACACATAAACAAAAATCATATTAATATGAATAGATGCAGAAAAAGCATTAGACAAAATCCAGCATCCATTTCTGGATAAAAACTCTCAGCAAGGGGGAATAAAGGGAATGTAGCTCAACATAATAAATGCCACATATGACAAATCCACAGCTAACATTATTCTCAACAGGGAAAAGCTAAAAGTATTTTCCTTAAGATCAAGAACAAGACAGGAATGTCCAGTTTACCACTGTTATTCAACATAGTATTAGAAATCCTAGCCACAGCAATCAGGCCAGAAAAAATAAATAAAAGGCATCAAATGAGAAAGAAAGACATAAAGGTCATTATTTGCCAATAAGATACTATAGAGAGAGGATCTTAAGGATTCCACTATAAAACTACTAGAACTGATAAATGAATTCAGTAAAGTAGCAGGATACAAAATTAATATTCAGAAATCAGTTGAATTTTATATGCCAATAATAAACTATCAAAAAGAAAAATGAAAAACAATTCCATTTACAATTGCATAAAAACATAAAATACCTAGCAATACATTTAACCAAGGTGATAAAAGACCTATATGCATAAAATTATAAGACATTGAAGGAAGAAACTGAAGATATACATCTACTCTGCTCATTGAAAGAAAAAGTAACATGGATTAAATGTCCATATTATCCAAAGTAATCTATAGATTCAATGCAAAGACTATAAAAATACCAATGCAGTTTTTAAAGAACTAGAACAAATTCATATGGAACCAAAAATGACACCTCAGTAATCTTAAGAAAGAAGAACAAATTTGGATATATCAGGCTACCTAATATAAACTATTCTACAAGACTATAGTAATCAAAATGGCATGGTACTGCTATAAAACCAGATACATAGATCAATGGAAAGAATAAAGAGCTCAGAAATAAATCCATATGTATATGGTTGGTTAAGTTATGACAAAGAAGTCTAGACTATACAATGGGGTAATAAAGACAGTCTCTTTAGTAATCAGTTTTGGGAAATTGGACAAATACCTGCAAAAAAAAAAAGAAATATCACCTTCTTACACAATATCAAGAATGAACTCAAAATTATATAATTTTCTAAGCATTATGCTGTACACCTAAAACTAATATAAAATAAAATTGAACATCAATTGTAATTAATAAAATAAAAATTTTAAAAAGTTCTGGATATAGTGGTGCTGGCTATACATCAATGTGAATTAATGGCACTGAGTTATACATTTAAAATGGTAATTTTATGGTTTGTCACAATGAAAAAAGAAAGTTAAACACAAAGATTTGTGAATACTGTAATGAGAGCTTAAAAGACTGGAGAAGGAGCAAAGGTGTTAAATGGAAAGACAAGTGAGTGCTATGAAAGAGGCACCCAAATAAAGATACATCAGTGGTAATCCTATCCTATATAATAAAAGCCAAATATGCGAAGTGTCCAGTTCAACCAATCAAAGCATAATATGCTAATGATATGCTAAGGCTGCTCAACCGCTTGCTGTGATGTGCATTGACCACCAGAAGGCAGACAGCTGACCCATCAACCAGTCGCTATTATGTGCACTGACCACCAGGGGACAGATGCTCTGACCTGTAGGTTAGCTTGCTGCTAGGGTCCAGCCAATCAGGACTGAGTGAGATGGGCTGGACATGCCCTTGAACCAACCCTCTGCCCCTCCCCAGCTGGCCAACCTCCTGCATCCCTCCCTGGGTCCAATTATGCACCATGCACCGGTGGGGTCCCTTGGCCTGGCCTGTGCCCTCTCGCAATCCAGGAGCCCTCAGAGGATGTGAGAGAGCTGGTTTCAGCCTGATCCTGCAGGCCAGGATAAGGGACCCCATTGGTGCATGAATTCGTGCTAGTGAAGGAATAAGATTCAACATTAAATGGTTTTGCAGTAGAAGTGATACATCTAATTCAAGTTAGCTGTATTAGTAGGTGGGCTGGTGCCATAAGCAGACTAAGCGAGAAACAAAATCGAATGGGCAGGAGTTAATAAATAAATCTTGGGTATGTGCCTAAAGTATATGTGGCACATGCAGGTAATAGTGATATCTATTTGGAGATTGAATATAGTTTTGACACTCAGAATAGTTTTCAATTGAAATTAATTGAGCATCATTAGAGTAACAGTAGTGGATTGTGACTAGGGACAGAGAACTGTAAAGAAAAGCGAACCAATACAGAATCTGGGCAACACCAGTATTTACTAGATCCACATAAAAAGATAAATGTTCTGAAAGAAAACACCAAGACTATTCTCTTTGAAACTAAGGGCAGAATATGTCAAGAGTTATAATTCCAGTTCAGTAGGTAACCTAATCACATACAATTACCTCTCCTTCATCTGCATATAGAAATAGAGGAAATTTTAAAATAGAAATAAATCTATAACATCATAACATCCTGGGGAGTATTTTTGGCAGGCCACACATTTTAGGAATTGTTAGCACCCATAAGCAAACTTTAAGGATCAAAGAGCAGAAATACAGGAATCTCAATTCTGTGTATAATTTGTCAAGCACAGATTCTCAAAGCCTCAAGATAGGATTTCCTATCATTTAATAATCACAATCAATTCCATATCCATCTTGACTGTCTTATCTAAGCAAGACAGGTTGTGCAGTAATATGTTCTCAATTTATTTATTTACTCAAGGCCCAGTGCATAAAATTCATGTATGGGTGCAGTCCCTAGGCCTGGATGGCAATCAAAGCAGAAGTGTCTGGCATGGAAGGGCAGGTCCCAGTTGACCTCTGAGCCCTCAGGCCTCCATGTGCCCCCCTCTGCCTGAGTATAATATACCCAAGTATATTTTGTCCATTGCTTTTTAGAGAGAATGGAAGGGTGGGAGGAAAAGAGGAAGAAAGGGAGGGAGATAGGAAGAGGGAGCAGGAGAGGGAGAGAGAAACATCAATGTGAGATATACAGATTGGCTGCTTTCTGCATGCTCTCTAGCCCAGGTGCTCTTTGACCTGGGCCTGGATAGAACCTACAACCCAGATATGTGTCCTTGACCAGGAATCAAACTCATGACCCTTTGGCATGTGGGCAATACTCTATCCATTTAGCAACCCCGGCAAGGGTTATTCTCATTTAATTTGAGGAATTGCATTTTAGTCCCAGCAATGCTTCTGGGTGAAGACTGAGAAAGATGTTGAATGATATACCCTCTTAATGTATAATCACTGGTTAAAATTAGAAGAAGCACTTGTAGAAGATAAATGTTTACCTGGCCAATATGGAAAGAAATGAGAAACACTTCTCTTAAGGGAGAGACAGGCAGAAGGATTTAAAACAAAGCAAACAAAAAATCCCACAAAGGCTCAAATATTCTTCAAACACAAAACAAAAAAAAAACTACTTTAGAGAGAAACCATCATCTCACCTGAGCCATGGTTTTCAGATTTGCAAGAGAAACCTGTCTTCCTTTGGGATCCTCTTTGGAAAAGGGGTGGTTCCTAAGAAGGCAAAGCTAAGATGAAAAGATGCCATGTTTCACCAGACACATACTTACAGCTAAATTAAAATTGCCTCCATTTCCCTTGTTTGGCCCTTGTCAACTGAGAACATCCCACATAAACAGTGTCGGGGCAGGGAGATGAGCTAGACAACTCTTATTTTACCCCCAAAGTCAGAGATACAGGCTATTGGGGCAACAGGCTAAATTTTGGGAAAACTCCCCTCCCCTCCAGCACCGTCTTTTCTTGCCTAAGTAGCCTACTGAATATTAACTACTTCCAAGCTGCTCTCCATTAAGGCTCTACCATTTACTGTCACCAGCAATATATGAGAATATGTTATCCCTGATGAATACCGCTGATACGAACTTCTTAATGCTTGCCTATCTAACAGATATAAATTGTGCTTCTAGTTTTTATTTTTCTTACTATGAGAGAAGGTTAAAATTCTTTTCATAAGTTTAAAACCATCTTTAGTTTCTTCTCTCTTAAAATTCTTTCACTTTTCTATTAGGTCATTTTTATTTTCTAGATTGATATTAGATCTCTTTTAAAAGATGGAAATTAATCCTGCATTTAAAGTAATTTTTTATACTTTCTCACTCGACTTTGTGTTTTTCCCACACAAAAATAACTTAAAAAAAAAAAAAAAGACTATGGACCATCTGGTTATATAATAACCTGTATTTCCTCTACTCACTGAAAACTGTCATCTTTATCATATACTTTATTGCTTTTATGTATGTGACTAGATCTGGACTTTATATTTAGTTCCACTGATGTGTTCATAATTGCCAAGATCACTCTGCAGTTATTACAATTTTAAAACACATTTAAATACTTCCCTCTTCATTATTTTTCTCTTTCAGAATTTCTGGCTAGTTTAGGAAGTTCAAAATTTTACTGAAATTTTAATGGAGCTGCATGAAATGTTTGGGAGTTTGGACATTTTATCATATGTGTCTTCCTGTGCTTTTACTTGTCTTATTTTTAAGTCTCTTAGGAATATTTTTTAAAAATTTGAGCACCTCATGCAATCCTTTATATCTCATATTTTTGATAGCCACTTGTCACTTTCATGTTTTCAGATATATCTATATCTATTATATGTCTATGCAGCTATACACACACACACACACACACACACACACACACACACACACATCTATGCCTTGCTAATGTTTCTTCCCCACAGTAAGCCTCCGAGTTTTCTAATTGTTGTCAGTGTTAATTTTTAACAGGATAGTAACTCAGAAATCTTCTTCCTCAGTTTCAGCGGATGCCCCCAAGATGGTGAGTGAAACAAGTATCCCTCATTCTAAAATACTGTCTTGTAAAGCAGCTGACTATAGTTTTTCTACCATTAATTTAACCCTACTTCAACTGGCTGGAAAAGCTAGCATAAGGGAGTAAATTATTTTTAGAACAGTTTTCCAGGGGGAAGAAAAGTGGGTGTTTCTCCCTTCCTGATAACATACAAAGGGGCCTCTCACATCCTGATGCTACTGGGAACCAAAGTGATGAGAAAATGTGCAGGGAACTTGTTCATGTTTCCAGGATTTAGGAGGGCAAAGTAACTAATGTAGCTAATTCTCACCTGAGCTCTAGGTAAGGAACCCATGCATGAGCCTGGCTGTGTTGGTTTGGATCCTCCTATCCAAGAGGACTGACTGGAGAGACAAGCCCCACCAGAGCAGATGGGCCACTGCATATCCAGAGGAGAGTAGTGGGGAGGCAGCTGAAGAAGTGGCTGTGCACATGAGAATAAAAGTATATCTGGAAGTTCCCAGCAGTGGGTTCTCCCAGAAGGTAAGAGCTGACTTACACTAAATTATCGTATTTTCTGGCGTATAAGATGACCCCCTAATTTTACAGTTAAAACATAGGTTTAGGCCTATATTCGCTATATAAGACTACCCCCCACTTCCGAGGCAACACCAGTTCTTTTTTTAATAGACCGCCTCTCTGACTCTGGCCAATCTGAGCAGGCTTTTTACTAGAACACAGTGTCGTCTTATACGCCGGAAAACACGGTATAACATAACAGGTACCAGCTTCTTCCTGTCCCTACTTCTGACTTTGCTTCCCTTTTCCAGCTTCCAATCCATTCTAACTGGAGACTAACCACCTAGAAGGAGTAAAGAGGAGACAAAATAGAGGTTGAGGAATTAGAGAAGATTGCAGGTTTCCAGCAGGAGGGACAGTTTTCTGCTTTTAAAACAAGTTTTGAAGTATTAATTTCTGCAATGAATGTTTTACTTAGCTAAATGACTATTGTAAGATGGGACTGATGCTTAAATGTCCAACAGATTTTTATTGTCTTCAGAATGACTGAAGAAATTATTAAATCTTCCCAGGAATTCATCCAGCAGCAGCAATAGCAGGAAGGGGAAAAAAACAAAACCCACCCAAATGGAAATTCTGAGAGTGTCAGTTCTGGGTCTACTCATCTATCTACATCTATAAAAGTCTAAACCACCAATCTACATTTCCATCGGTAGCTATGGCACACACTGACCACTAGGGGGTAGAGGCTGGGAAGGGTAGGTTAGCTTGCTGCTAGGGTCCTGCGGATTGGGACTCGGCCAGACACTCCCTGGTCCCTACTCCCCAGATGATGGGGAGGGGTGGTGGAATTCGGGATTGTGAGAGGGTGCAGGTCAGGCCCAGGGACCCCACTGGTGCACCAATTGGAGTAACCAGCCTCTGGTTTCAACATATTAGTAATCAGTCAATACAGGGTTTCCCAATATACTATCCTGCCATCTGAAAATTACTTTAATTTTATCTCTCCATTTAAAAAAATCTCTATTTTTTTTTTTACTTGTTTAAATTCCAGAGTCAAATTCTACAGGCATATACAATAACCAATATTCGGTTAATCTAAACAATACATATTTAACTACAATCATGCACCCAATTCTCAAGCGTTCTATAAGCCATATTCATATTAGCCGCGATCTGTGCACACAAAATACTTCAAAAAGTAGACATACGTACAGTTATAGCACTCACTACAATATCACAGACACGTCATGCATAATCTCAGGGTTATTCACAAAGTAGCAAAATCTCACAAGCCCTTTACTGTCGTCTCTCCAAAATCACATAGTCTTAAACACAAACCGATTCGCACCTATTTTAAAAATTAGACAGAGAACCTCTCACTTTCACGACCAATCGGTGTCACAACGTCACCGAAGTAACACTTGTCCAAATACACACACCGACGGGAACAAAAAACTACACAAACGGAAGCCCCGCGTGTGCCGGGCCGCGCGCTCTCTGGGGTTTCCTCATACGCGGGTGGGGGGTGACGGACAATCAGTTCCCGCCACGCTGAGCTCAGACCCGCCTGGGCTTCCAGTTCCCCCTTCGGCCCTCTCCCGCCTGGACCGCGGCTCTCGGTTCCCTGCTCGGCGTTCCTGGCCTGGGCTCCCGGTTCCTTCCTCTGCCTAGATTCTCGCTTCCACTCTCGCTCTCTCAAGGGCCAGGACTCGCGCTTTCCTTCCCGGCTTTCTTAGCCTTTCCCGCTTTCCCCAGCCCAGGTTCCCACCCCCCTCCTGGCGTTACCGTGCCGGCCACCACCCGCCGCCTCCGGCCCGTGGGCGCCGCCACCTCACCTTGACCGCCAGTCTGCGCCTGCGCACTCTGCCCGCTAGCGCCCTGCGGAGCGGCGCGCTCGCGCCTCAGCGCGCCTCCTGCCCCGTGGGGCCTTTACAGCTTTGAACTACATTTCCCACCGGCCCCGTTGGATGCTTTGGAAAAGAACTTTGATCTCGGTTCAATACTTGTGTCCCTCCAGGAGTCCTCAAATACCTCCTTCTCCTAGTGGTAACCTAGGAATCTGGCCCTCCAGGCGCTCACGGTGTGGGCGCGCAGTACGAGGGTCGGGAAGGGTGCGGGATTGGTTTGTGTCTTTGTGTCTGTCTCTCCCTTCTCACCACCCCCCCCCAAAAAAAAAAAAAAAAAAAGCGGAACTTTTGGGAAGGCCGTAGTTGGCTGTCATGTGGAGTATGTGGCAAAGTGGGGTTTGAGACCATTTATCATAAGACAGTGCTGCCCTTACTTCGTGTTTTGCGAGGGGCTTTTGACCTTGATCCGTTCATTTCGCTTCTGTCACCGGAGTGGAGCTTCATTCCTGCAGTTTTAACAGTTGGGACTGAGAAGTTCTGATGAAGATCTCTCTGTGGAGGAAATGAGCCACATGCTAGCCTGACAAGCTCAGGGGAGGCCTGTGTGGCAGTCTTGCAAAGTCAGAGATCTAAAATAACCACAAAAGATGGTCTGTAAATTAAATATTTAACTACTAACAGGTTATAATGGATAGTCATGTCCTAGGCTGATATTTTTCCTGACAAAGATCAACTTAGATCTTTCCTGAGCCCATTTGCCTTTTCGCCTCTAAGATAACATATCTGTGAGATGTCTGGTTAACTTGTAACTTTCCTTTTTCTGGAGCCTTTTTGGCACAACCAGATGTGGTGAGTGCCAGGACAGATCCCCCAAATTTCTTCATTATCTTGTTAATTGTTCCTGTAGCTACCTAAGTATGTATCCATCATTTTACTTTTTATCCAATCCTAGGACCCCCAACATCTCTGAGAGTATATCTGCCCCTGAAAATGTGGAGGGTGTGTGTGTGTGTGTGTGTGTGTGTGTGTGTGTGTGTGTGTGTGAGAGAGAGAGAGAGAGAGAGAGAATGGAGTGTCCCTACCAGGGGCCAATTTTAGCTTCTGTCCTTTGTTAGGATCTGTATTTCCGGGTTTCCTGCTGCTTCCTTTTCTCCCACTTCTCCCAGAATAATGAGGTAATCAATGTCTCTTTATTTGCATCCACAAACTTTTGCGGTGGTTACACAGCAATAGGTAACTGAAATAGGTGTTTAACTCTGTAGTCTTTTTTAAATCACCTTATATTGATATAATTATATTGG